TAACAAGTTTATTGTTTGTTGAGTGATATAGAGTAAGATAAGATTATCTCTCTTTTTCTTTTTTTTTTTTTTGAGACATGGTCTCACTCTGTCTCCCAGGCTGGACTGCAGTGGCAATATCATAGCTCATTGCAACCTCAAACTTCTAGGGTCAAGCAATATTCCTGCCCAGCCTTCCAAGTAGGGCCCTGCTAATTTTTCTTTTTATAGAAATGGGTTCTCACCATGTTGCTCAAGATGGTCTTGAACCTCTGGCCTCAAGCAAGCCTCCTGCCTTAGCTTCCCAAAGTGCTAGGATTATAGGCAGGAGGTACTATGCCTGGCTTGAATTTATATCTCTATATCAAAATAGTTGCCTGGCAGATAGCCTAAAATTTTTGGCTAGCAATTTAGAAAATGGGAGCTCTGAAGAGTAATCTTATCTAATTTGTTGTAGTTTACTTCATATTCTCTTGGTTGCTATCACATGGACTGATTCTTTTTCCTAAATGATTGGTTTTCTTTTTTGTTTTTTTCTTTGCCCAGGCAGGTCTTGAACTCTTGGCCTAAAGTCTTTATCCTGCCTTGGCTACCCAAAGTGCTGGGATTATAGGTGTAAACTATTTGTGGTCTAAATGATCGTTGATAGCAGTAACTGCAGGCTACATTTTATTTAATGAGATGTTTTAAATTACTTTGTCATTTAATTTGAAGTTTTGTCAATTTGCTTATAAACATTTATCTTAATCTAAATTTGCTATATCTCATTTTTAACTGGAAGGAGAAATGTTCATGCAATAAAGTCAATAAAATATTAGTTCTTATCAAAATAGGGAAAAGAAACACAAACAACTTACTTTTACAGAAATGATCTTTTTGTGTCTTATGCAAAAAGATTATTCAATCGCCTATAGTGTAATAGTAGTTAAAAGACCTTCAGTTAGTCCTAACTCTACTTGGCTAAGAGACTTAACTCTAAACCACCTCCATTTCTTTGATTAAAATGTATTCCCAGGCTGGGTGCCGTGGCTCACGCCTGTAATCCTAGCACTCTGGGGGGCCAAAGCAGGTGGATTGCTTGAGCTCACAAGTTTGAGACTAGCCTGAGCAGACCCCATCTCTACTAAATATAAGGAAACTCTCCAGGTGTGATGGGGAGCTACTATAGAGACTGAGGCAAGAGGGTCGCTTGAGCCCAACAGTCTGAGGTTGCTGTGAGCTATAATGCCATGGCACTCTAGGGCAACTGAGTGAGACTTTGTCTCAAAAAAAAAGTGTATCTCTAATTCCTTTGGGAGTTCTTCCCTTGCTGTACCCTGAGTTCTGTTGGGAACTGTCATCTTAATCTGGGCTCACTGGCCACAGTAAATGACTGTATAAGAACTGACAGCTTCTCACCTAGTCTTGAGTCCTGGAAAGTTCAATAATGTATTTGATTCAGACAATTCTTTTCCTGGAATTTTTTTCTTTTTTTTTTATTTATTTTTATTTTCTCTATACATATACATGTATTTATTTGGTTTCTACTTTTTGCCTTCACAAAATTAAAAAAGCGTAAAATTTAATAACAATAACAATGTTTAAGATAAAGACTAGAAACAAAAACCTCATAAAGAATGAACAAAGATAAATACATTCAGAAAAGAAATCAGACAATTGCTGCAACGAAATATTGAGCAATAATAATAATAATGCAAAAAAAGTAACATTCACATTGGCAGATAAGAGTATGTCTATCATAGAATGCTTTGACTCTGAGTTCAGTATAGAGTCATCAGTTAACTTATTATTTTTTTCCAAAGTCTCAAAAAATAGACAACTAATGTTTATATATAAAAGATAATTTCAAAAAACAGATCATGCCAGATCTTATAGACAACAGAAAAAGAAGAAACACTTCAAAATCATTTTACTTCATCTGGATACACCTGATATTAAAATTGGAAAAAATATATTATTATAAAGGGAAATTACAAACATATTTCACTTATAAATGAGGATGTAATATCCTAAACAACATATTAACAAGTTGAATTAAAAATTAATGTTTAAGTAATGTACTTTGGTCAAAATTAAATCCAATTTATGTGAGAATTAGTCACTATTTTCTTTTCGATTTTTTTTCTTTTCCTTTCCCTAACCCCCTTCCTCCTTCTTTCTCTGTCTGCTCTTTCCTTCCCCCATCCCCCACCATGTCATTAATTGTCATTCATTGTCCTCATATTGAAGTTGAATACATAGGATTCATGCTTCTCCATTCCTGTGATGCTTCACTAAGAATAATGTGTTCCACCTCCAACACAGGTTAATACAAATACTGCAAAATCTTCATTTTTTAAATGGCTGAATAGTATTCCGTGGTACACATATACCACAGCTTGTCAATCCATTCTTGGGTTGAGGGGCATGTAGGCTGTTTCCACATTTTGGCAATTATAAAGTGAGCTGCGATAAACAGTCTAGTACAAGTGTCTTTATAATAAAAAGTTTTTTTCCTTCTGGATAGATGCCCAGAAATGGGATTGCAGGATCAAACGGGAGGTTTAGGTTGAGTTCTTTGAGGTTTCTCCGTACTTCCTTCCAAAAAGGTTGTATTAGTTTGCAGTCTCACCAGCAGTGTAAAAGTGTTCCTTTCTCTCCACATCCACACAGTATCTGCAGTTTTGAGATTTTGTGATATGGGCCATTCTTGCTGGGGTTAGATGATATCTCAGGGTGGTTTTAATTTGCATTTCTCTAATAATCAGGGATGATGAGCATTTTTTCATGTTTGCTAGCCATTCATCTGTCTTTAGAGAAGGTTCTGTTCATCTCTCTTCCCCATTGATGTATGGGATTATTGGTTTTTTCCTTGTGATTAATTTAAGTTCTATATAGATCCTAATTATTAAGCTTTTGTCTGATTTAAAATATGCAAATATCCTTTCAAATTGGGTAGGTTGTCTGTTTGCTTTGGTTGTTGTCTCCTTGGCTGTACAGAAGCTTTTCAGTTTAATTAAATCTCATTTGTTTATTATTGCTGTTGTTGCTATTGCCATGGCAGTCTTCTTCATAAAGTCTTTCCCCAGGTTGCTGTCTTCCAGTGTTTTTCCTATTCTTTTCTTGCGGATTTTTCTTCTTTCATGCCTTAAATTTAAGTCCTTTATCCATCTTGAATCAATTTTTGTGAGTGGAGAAAAGTGTTGCAGTTTCAGTTTTTTACATATGGATATCCAATTCTCCCAGCACCATTTATTGAATAGGGAGTCTTTCCCCCACTGTATATTCTTATTTGGTTTATTGAAGATTAAGTGGTTGTAAGTTGTTGGTTTCATTTCCTGGTTTTCTATTCGATTCCAAATGTCTATGTCTCTATTTTTATGCCAGTACCATGCTGTCTTGACCACTATGACTTTGTAGTACAGCCTAAAATCTAGTATGGTGATACCCCCAGCTTTGTTTTTATTACTAAGATCTGCCTTAGCTATACAGGTTTTTTTCTGGTTCCATACAAAACACACAATCATTTTTTCTAAGTCTTGAAAATAGGATGTTGGTATTTTAATAGGGATGGCATTGAATCGGTAGATTGCAAATTAAAACTACAATGAAATACTGTCTTACCCATATCAACATGACCATTATTAAAAAGTCAAAACACAATAGATGTTGGCATGGATGCAGAGAGAAAGGGACACTTATACACTGTTGGTGGGACTGTAAATTAGCACTTTTATGGAAAACAATATGGAGATTCCTCAAAGAAATTGACATAGACCTGCCATTTGGTCTAGCAATCCCACTGCTAAGTATATACTCAAAGGAAAAGAAGTTGTTTTGTCAAAAAGACACCTGTGCTCAAGTGGTCATCACAGCACAACTCACAATTGCAAAATTGTGGAATCAACCATCTGTCAATGAGTAGATAAAGGAAATTTGGCATATACATAGTGTATACCATAGAGTACTGCTCAGACATAAAAAGGAATGAAATAATGTCATTCGGAGCAATCTGGGTGGAAATGGGAGACCATTATACTTAGAAACCACGCGGGCATGAGAAACCAAGAAGGGGGAAGGGTGAGGGGGCGATGGGTGAAAACTTACCTATGGGACAAACACTATTCTGGTGACAGGAACACCAAAAGCCCTGACTTAAGCATTTACAGGATATCTATATGACAAAACTAGCTGTATCCTCCTAATATTTCAAAATAAAACTAACAAAAAATTGGAAAAAGGAGGTTATGAAGCAATATCCAGTGTGTGGGCCTGTGTGTGTTTATGTGTTACTCTTTTCTCTGTTTTTCAATTATACCAATTCTGTAGTTAAACATTACATTTCATACATATAAAACAAAACCAGAAACATTACTATGCAACACCAAGAAAGCAAAGAGAAAAAAATAAGAATAAAATCTAAAACCCAAAGCCTTACAATTGGGACAGAAGCAGCTCAGACCGTTGGTGTCCCTGAGAACTCGGCTGTAAAGGAAACTTTCTGTGGCTTACCCCCCAACCTTGGTCTCGAACCAGTTCGTAAGCCAAGAATGTAGTTAAGTCCTAAGGAATCTTCTCTCTACTTCTTAAGGGAAGAATTAACTTTTTTTACTTCTTGGATGTGCCCCAAAGGTGCCCCACTTAATCTATCATTTCTGTCTTTTAATTCTCAGAAGTGATGAGAAATTTAATAAAGCTTTTTTCCTCAGCGTTCCATTAGCTGGAAATCTCTCTGGCCGGCTGTCTCTCCTCTGCTTTTTTGGTAATAACTGGTGCTCACAGGATTATACCGAGGCACTTAAAGAATTTAAAAATACAGATTTAATTCTCTCCCATGTAGGTTGGATGTAAATTATATTTTGTGGCATTGTGATATTTTGAGACTTGCCAATCCACATGTGCTTTATAGGATTGTTAAGCGTATTTGTTGACCGAGAGCCTCTGATTCTCCAGCGTTACTACTAATAGTTGTGGTTCTCAGAAACACCAAGAAGAACTTAAGTACTGTGGAAATGAGTTCTGTGGGCCCATTTGTTTTGTAGGTGGACATTCTGGAGCATTCTCATAACGTCACGGTTGGTTATTATGCTACCAAAGGGAGATTGGTATACTTGCCTGCAGTAGTGATCGAAATGCTGGGTGTTTATGGAGTCAGCAACGTCACTGCAGATCTGAAGCAGCACACCCCAAATTTACAGTCCGTGGCAGTACTTGCCTCCTCGTGGAATCCCCAGCCTGCAGGCTACTTCCAGCTGAAAACAGGCAAGTGACTCAGAAGGAAAGATTGCTGTCCATTCATCCTGCCCGTTGTGGAGCAGGGGCAGTACCAAGTGGACACCTGTTAAAAAAACTCCACTGCTAACAGCTGTGTCCTTTTTTAAAGGTCCTTGTGTACCTTCTTCACAGGGCCCTGCTAATCAAATGTCTAAGTTCCTTAGATATCAGCCAACATTTTTTCCAACCCTGAGCTTACTAGAAATATTCCACCACAAGAGGCTTCCTTCCCAATTTATCTACTTGAGCATCAAGTAATGGATTTTATATTTCTTTTCATATTACCCATGGATACTAATAAAAGTTCCGTAAAATGTATGGTTTGGAGCAATGGGTTCCAGAAGCCACTAAATTAGAATCTCTGAGTTCAGGCTTTGGAATCTCTCTCTCTCTTTTTTTCAAGCTCCTTGGTTATTCCAATCTACAAAGCTTGTAAAACCACAAGAGTAGAGAAACTATTGAAATTGAAACAATCAACTTAGTAATGGAGGTCACTTGTGGGTTTCCCCCCATCCAAAGAAATGGAAGGCATGATCTCTTTGAGATTATGAATTGTCAACCTTTGAGCAGATGTCTACCTATTCCAATCAAATAAAGTTATAAAACCTTCTGCATTGGAGGGGATCTCAGGTTCGATCATGCTTTTGATTTTTCTGTGCTATAAATCATTTTAAGAGCCACTTTCAAAACTGCAGTCAAATCCTGTCTAGTCTTATTATTTATTTGCCTAATTTCTCTAATCTAAGATCATGCTGTTTTATATCATGACTGTTAGTAAATCCAAGGAGCGGAGACACAGAGCTGTGTGGGTTCTGACTTATTACTCTCATTCTAGTGCTGCAGTTTGTGAGCCAATCCGACAACATACAGTCCTGCAAGTTTGCTCAGACCATGGAACAGAGGCTGCAGAAAGCGTTCCAGGATGCTGAGAGGAAGGTCCTGAATACCCGAAGCAACCTGACGATTCAGGTAGGGAGGAGGCTCTTTCAGACCATGTGGTTGATGGACAGACACAATGCAAACATTGGCAAGTACTACCTTGGATCCTCCATTTCAGAACTTTGTATTCCAGGCTTGTGATGTAGACAGTTGTGACATTGGTGAGGATGTCTGGGGAGTGGGGAGTGGCCATGACAGAAGGGGTCCTGTGTCACAGTTTACCTGCCATAGTCTGGAGTTTTGTATTTATTTTCCCATGTGGCACTTCCTCAGGCCTTTCAAATAAATTTACTCTCTTAAAAAACTGAACTAGACCCTGCCGTATATGTCAGATGTCTAATATTCATTATAAATGAATAAATGAATTGATTATAGGTAGATGACTCACCAAGATTTGACTGTTCTGTGGTTTGCATTGGGTTATTCCAGTTACCTCGGTTTATATACGCACACGCATTTTATATTGAGAACTTACTATGTGCCAGGAGCTGTCCTAAGTGTTTTATAAATATTTTCCTACCTAATACCCATGACATTCTTCTGAGGTATTCTTCCCCTCAGAAGAGGAAATCAAGAGAGAGAGGGGTTAAGAAACTTCCTGAAGGTCACACAGTTAGTAAAGAATAGAGCAAAGACTTGAACCAAAAGCCCATACTCTTATCCACTGTGCTGTACTACCATCAATACCATGAGAAATGGGGTCCCCGGGGCTGGGTTGGTGGCTCATACCTGCAATCCTAGCACTGTGGGAGGCCAAGACAGTGGGTTGCTTGAGCTCAGGAGTTTGAGACCAGCCTGGGCAAGAGTGAGCTCACTATCCAGGTGTTGTGGGCACCTGTAATTCCAGCTACTCAGGAAGCTGAGGCAAGAGGATCGCTTGAGCCCAAGAGTTTGATTTGAGGTTGCTGTGAGCCATGATGCCATAGCAGTCTACTCAGGATGGCAGAGTGTAACTGTATATCAAAAAAGAAATGGAGTCCTTGATGAAACTTTTGCAAACACATGAATCCCTTCCTAAGGAGATCCCACTCTTGGTTCCACTATATTTCAGATTCTTGGATTAACAGTATACACACTACTAAGAACCTTTCTTGGACCCATTATTGCAATTATATTGGTAACAATCCCCCTAAGGACAGATGCTTCTTAATGATATTCATCCAGCCCCAAATTTCTCTAATTAAATCTTCTATTCAGTGTCTCTGTTTTGAGTACTCAACCAAAGCCTTTGCAATTAGACCCAGTGGTTTTGAAATTGACATTTAGCATAAGTGAATTATCAGCAAAGCCAATAAGATGTAGAAAGCATACAATTTAACTTGAATGAGCAGCTTTCCTTTTCTAGATTCATCCAAAGTGTATGTGGAAGTATCTCATTATGATTTGGTTCATATTAGACTAAGATTTAAAAATGTGTCACAGATTTAAGATTTATGTAAGGAGTGTGACTCAGCTGTCTTGCGGGAAATCATTTTCTTTCTGATTGGATTTGTGATCCTCACAGGTGCACGAGCCTAGTTAGATCTTGGCAGCAGAGCATGCATTAATTGTATTCAGGAAGCACAGACTTACTGAGTGCCTGCTAGTTCTCAGGCACAGGGAAAGACACCAAGATAAATAAACTGCCCTTGGCCTTAGGAAGCCTCTCTTGTGTTATTGTATGGTAGTTATGAGCCATTAGATGAAACTTTATAAATCAAGTAACAAACCTTCCTTGGAAAAGGAGTATAAGAGGTGATGTGAAAAAATTGCATCTAAACAGATGACAGATACTCTTAAACATTTAAACAGCTTTTGAAATGAGTGTGTAATTGGATGAATCCTTTTTTTAACTCCATCCATTTCACTTTTTGTCTTGGCCAATGGGAAGCCCAGAGACAAATTTGTTGCTTAGATTTAGTAACGCTGTGGGCTGCTGTATTGTATGTAGATAACCACATGACAACCATTCCTTTGGGTTGTCTTTTTATCTGTTTTTCCAAGACCTGGTTTTCTAATTTAATAATTTTTCATTCTATTGTATAACATGTGATTGGTAAAGGACATCAAATGTTTTGTGCAATAAGACTATAAATATTTGGTTCATTCAGAGAGTCATAAAAGCACCTTTTTTAAAAAGCTTATATAGCTTTAGTATTAGGGGCAAGATTACAAATGACTTAGGACTTTTTTGTTGCAAGTGACAGAATATAAATTGACAAGGCAAAAAGAGGAAGTGATTGGCTAATGGAACTGACAAGTTCACAGTTTATTTACTTCAGATACAGTTGATTCCAGGTGCTTACATTCTTTCTTTATAAAGTTCTCTTTATCTCTTGGCTTGCTTTGCTGTGAGCTGACACCATCCTCGGCACCCATGGGATGGCTCAATCTTGTTGCTCACAGTTGCTAGAATCAAAGTGTCATTACAGTAAAGATTTGGGGATTAGCTCTCACTGGGCCCACTATGTTCCTTTCTAGATCAATAATTGTGGCCAATGAGATGAAATATGCCAATCAAGTAGACCTGGCTCTGATGACCAATCCTGAAATGTGGGTGGGGTGGCCCCATCCAAGGCACAGGGACAGAGAAAAGTGGTTCCCTGGGGAAATTGTGGTGCTGTCTTAGAAGGGATACTGAACACTGAGTAGGCAAAACGATAGCTTTCTGCTCCGTCTCTTATAGGTCTAATTAGCTGACTGAACCATGGCTTTAGAGAGTGGGAAGTCAGAGATGAGGTCAGAAGCTATAGAAGTCAAGGTAAAGGGGTGATGAGAAAGTGTCATCTGTAGTGGCTGCTGCTCTTGGGGGACAGAGCATGACTTTAGGGACCAGTACTGTACCCTGGTCTCAGGCCTCGGGACCTTTTGTTTTTGGAGCTAGTGTTAAACAGCCACCAAGAATGATCACACTTCTTCTTAGCTGTAAAAAATGTGTATATTAAAGAAGACACAATGGAAGAACATCCAGTGTCCATGGATTGGGAGACTTAAAATTGTTAGGGTGTCAAAACAAAGGGAGCTACAGATTTAATGCAATCCCTACCAAAATCCAAGTGATCTTTTTCTGCAGAAATAGAAAAATCCATTCTAATACTCACATGGAATCTCGAGGAACCTTTAGTAGGCAAACAAATCTTAAGAAAGATGAACAAGTTGGAGGTCTTACGTCCTGATTTCAAATCTTACTACAAAGCTACAGCAAAACAATATGGTATTGGCCTAAAGACAGACACATAGACCAGTGGAATAGATTAGAGAGCCTAGAAATAACGCCCCTGGTATATGGCCATATATTTTTTGACAAGGGTGACCAAGGGGAAAATGACAGTCTTTTCAGCAAATTGGGAAAACTGGACATCCACATACAAAGGAATGAAGTTAGACTCTTAACTAACACCATGTACCAAAATTAACTCAGAGTGGATCAAAGACCTAAATGTAAGAAGTAAAACTGTAGGACTCTCTGAAGAAAAGATAGGGGAAAAACTTCATGACACTGGATTAGGATTTGTTGGATATGACACCAAGAGCATAGGCAACAAGAGGAAAGACAGATAAATTAGACTTTGTCAAAATTAGAAACTTTTGTTCATCAAAGAACACTCTCAGCAGGATGAAGAGGCAGCCCACAGAATAGATGAAAAATATTTGGAAATAATATATATGACAAGAAGTTAATATCCAGAACATAAAGAATCCCTACAATTCAGCAATTTAAAAAAAAACCAATTATGAAATGGAAAAAGGACTTGAATAGATATTTCTCCAAAAAAGATATACAGATGGCCAAGACTCGTGACAAGATGCTCTATATCACTAATCATTAAAGAAATGCAAATCAAAACCATGAGATATCACTTCCCATCTATAAGGATGGTTCTTCTCAAAAAACAGAAAGTAATAAATGTTGGCGAGGATATAGACAAATTGGAACCCTGTGCGTTGCTAGTGGGAATGTCAACTAGTACAGCCGCTTAGAAAAAAGAGTATGGTGGTTTCTCCAAAAATTAAACATAGAATTACCATACTGTCCAAGAATTTCATTTCTGGGTATATACCAAAAAGAATTGAAAGTAGGGACTTTAACAGGCATTTGTACATTCATGTGTATAGCAGCATTATTCACCATATCCAAAAGGTAGAAGCAACCCACGTGTCCATCAATAGACAAATGGATGGCAAATGTGGTGTGTGTGTGTGTGTGTGTGTGTGTGTATGTGTAGTGTGTGTACACGGTGCATATAGACACCAATGGAATATCGTTCAGCCTTAAAAAGGAAGGAAGTTCTGATCTACAACGTGGATGAACCTCTTGGACATTGTAAATGAATTAAGTTAGTCACCAGAGGACAAATACTGCATCAATTTTCTTTCAAGAAGTATCTAGAGTTGTTGAATTAATAAGTGATTCCACTTACAAAAACTATTTAAAAAGTAGATTGGTGGTTGCCAGGGGCCATGAGGAGGGAAAAATTAGGAGTTGCTTGAGAGGCACAGAGTTTCAGTTTGGGAATGATAAAAAAAGTTCTGGCGAATGTACTTAATGCCACTGAAGTGTACACCTAAAGTGGTTAAAATGGTAAATTTTCTGTTCTGTCTATTTTTCCACAAAAGAAATTATTATTTACCTGGCTAAGTATAGTATATATAGAGGTACCCATTTTTCAAGCTTTATATAAGGATTCCTTGGGGTCCAGGGGTATTCAGTTTTGTTGCAAGGTGCAAAATAGAATGTTTCCAATAGTTTTAAAAGTCAAAAAGGTTTTTTTTAGTTATCCTTTAGGCAGCAGTATGGTGAGGTATCTTGAATTGTTTAGAAAGAAGTGCCTCCCTTTTTTACCTGGAGAAGGAGGCATAAATCCCTGTGGCTAAATCTCATTCCAAAAATACTTCCAGAGGGGAGAGCTAGAATTGAGCAGAAATGTCAACTCAGTTTATCATTAATTATCATTAACAGGCTATGCATTAGAGAATTAAAAAGGAACTTGCAATTCTGGGGAATAGTGGGGAACAATGTGGAGAATCTCTTCTTGACAGTCTTCTTTGGTGACGGATACCCTGACTTGATCATTACACATTCTGTGCTCTTAACAAAATATCACTCATACCCTATAAATATGTACACATGTTATCTATCAATATTTTTAAGTCTGTAAAAAATGACTTAAAAAATAAAAGGAGAGCAGCAGGGATCTTTATGTCTGAGCATGCAAAGGCATGAGGAAAACCTGGGATCAGTCAGCATCTTGGCAAGAGAAGGGGCACTCCCAAAGGAAAGTACTTTGAGGAAAGCTCAGCAACAGGCACTCTTTGCAGAAGCGAGGGCAGGGGCTGGGGCAACTGCAGGGGCCAGGCAGTACCCAGGGCTCTCACAGTTGGGGCCTGATGGGGCAAGGGAAGGAGTGGGCGTAGCTGCCTGACCAGAGCCAGCTTTGGCCAGGACATCGATGCTCCAAACTCCCTCTCCTCTCTCTCTATCCTGTCCTCCAGAAGAGACCTGTTAGCTGAAGGCAGAGGGCAGGGAGCCCCTTGAGGTGGTCTACAAGCATCTGCCTTGGTGGGTGCAGGACAGAACAGAGAGGGTGAGTAGCCAGTGTATCAGGAGGGGGAAGGGAAGACACCCTGCACAGAGCTGGACAAAAACTGTCTCACCACGTGGAAGACTTCCTACTGCCTGTGTTTTTCAAATCTCATCTGTGGGATATTTTTGTCCATACATTGACCCAGAAAAACCTCGTTTTCTAGCAACTAAAAAAAATGGACTTAGACAAAATGTGAGAAGAAAACCGTGCCCTCTCATAGGATTTTTTACATGTTCTCTATCGAATTAATAGACCACAAGGAAATGTGATTGTTCTCTAAAGAACACATGTTATATTTCTGAATTCCTTTTATAATAAGGTTCACTTAACTCTACCCGTGACTAGGTTGGCGATCATCTCTGTACATTCCTGATCCTTTCAATTTTAAAACTCCCTGAAATTTGATTCCCAGGCTTCCTCTGTTGGAGCAGTGGTGCTCTCCTTAAATTTAGCCTTCCTGTGCTCTATTTTATATTTTCAGAACCATTAAAGTAACCCAGACAAGTTAGCCCCGGGAAAAGTTACACACACCAGTTTATAGGCATCCTCAAACTACAGCCCACAGGCCACATGTGGTCTGCCAAGGACATTTATCTGGCCTGCGGGGTGTTTTTGCCGCCGCTGCCTGTCCTGCTTAGCCACTGCCTGTCCTTTTAAACTATAGTTTGGCCTCCAGCAGTCTGAGGGACAGTGAACTGGCCCCCTATTTAAAAAGTTTGAGGACCCCTGGTAGAATGTGGAGTCAAGGGTTGTGCCTGGGGCTCAGTGAGTGGGGCACTAGCTCCATATACTGAGGGTGGCGGGTTCAAACCCGGCCCTGGCCAAACTGCAACAAAAAATAGCCGGGCATTATGGCGGGTGCCTGTAGTCCCAGCTACTTGAGAGCTGAGGCAAAAGAATTGCCTAAGCCCAAGAGCTGGAGGTTGCTGTGAGCTGTGGTGCTTTGGCACTCTACCAGGGTAGATGGAGTGAGACTGCCTCTTAAAAAAAAAAAAAAAATGTAGAGTCAAATTACCTAGGATCAGATCCTGATTCTTGTCAGTTATTAGCTGTGTGGCCTTGGGCAAGTCCCTCAGTTATTCTGGGCCTTGGTTTTCTCATCTGTGAAGGGGAGTCCCCACTAGATACACCTTGTAGGGTTGTGGTGAGAACTGAATGAGATGACGTGCCCGTAGCACAATGCCAGGTGTGCAGTGAGCGTCAGAAAGTGATGACTATTGTCATTCTGGTCTCTTACTTGCTGTTTCCCCACCTCCCTTTTTTTCCTACCCTCAACTTCGCTTAACCTTCTCCCACGGCCGTGAAACAGACCCTCTCTTATTTGGCGTGTTTCCCTCCCCTTTCCCCCGTGTTGATTCAGATCGTGAGCACGTCCAACGCCTCCCAGGCAGTCACCCTGGTGTATGTCGTGGGCAATCAGAGCACGTTCCTCAACGGCACCGTTGCCAGCAGCCTCCTCAGCCAGCTCTCGGCTGAGCTGGTGGGATTCTACCTCACCTACCCTCCGCTCACCATTGCTGAACGTGAGTATGCCCTGTAAGGTCAGCTCATCCAGGGACCCTGTGGTTTTCCCTGGGGCCTCTCCATGGAGCAAATGTCTGTGGGGCTGGTCCGCTTACTACCTAGTTTATCACTGAACAACTGAGGTACGTGCTGGATTGGGGATGAACTCATGAAAAATGCATTGCACATTGAAAGAAAGCGCTTGCTAGCTGCCTCCCACCTTCACGTCTCTTATCTCATTTAATCCTCGCAGCTGCCCTATAAGGTAGGTGCAAAATTAGCCCTGTTTTGAAGAGGAGCAAAATGAAACTCCAGGGGGTTTCACAAGGTACCCACTCTCACATAGCTAGTAAGCCTTCTGGGCTTACGGCATCTGTCCTCAGGGCCATCTGGGTCACCATGGTTTCTTCCCATTTGTGCCATCTGCAAATGATGCCGCCCTTCAGCTCCATGCCCTGCCTCTGGATGTCATAATGCAATTCATTTGCAGCCCACGTTGTCACTTCCCTTGATGAGGTCCCCATAGTCTTGTGGCCTTGTCGTCTTCTAATGCTTCTGTTACACAATCCTCATTACCATGCACAATCCTCATTACCATGCAGTGGGCATAGATCTCGAAGATGATACAGCCTACATTTTCTTTCCAAACACTTACTTGGTAGCTAAAAGAAGCAAAGGTTTGTACTCTTAAATTTAATTGTTCTTACATCTCCCAAAGTCACTGGGCAAGTTTTTTTGTTTGAAAAAAAAAAAACACATATTAGCAAAATGGTCTCCTAAATTCCTTCTATTGTTGTTTTTGATACTGTAAATAAAGGATATAACCTGTGTGAATGTACTTAGCACAAAGTAGCCACTCAGGCTTTTTTTTTCTTTGGAATGCTTGTTTAATAGCAAGCTTTTATAAACTTCCATGCAGTAAAGAAAGATGACGCTGGATATTATAGGAAAGATGATGTCATAGCAGATGAAGGTGAAGAATGTATTTTCTTTCAGTATTTTGATGTTCTGATAACAAGTAAGATTTATCAAGCACTAACTCTATGTCAGGCACTGTACTGAGCCCTTTGTATTCAATCCAGTAATCACCATACTTGTAAAGAAATATGGGGACTTTGGTTACAAGTATTTGGCTGTTAAATTTAAGTCCTTGACATTGGAAAAATTCATTCAAGAGATAATCACTCCTAAAAAAATGTTAAAGATGGTTGTAATTGTTTTGGGGGGGGAGGGACAGAGTCTCACTCTGTCATCCTGGGTAGAGTGCCATGGCATCAGCTCACAGCAATCTCAAACTCTTGGGCTCAGGTGACCTCTTGCCTCAGCCTCCTGAATAAGTGAGACTACAGGCGCCTGCCACAATACTCTGCTATTTTTTAGAGATGAGGTCTCGCTCTTGCTCAGGCTGGTCTTGAGCTCCTGAGCTCAAGCAATCCACCGGCCTCGGCCTCCCAGAGTGCTAGGATTACAGGTGAGAGCCACTGTGCCGGCTGACAGTTGTAATTTTTAAAAAGAAAGCTATAGCTAAGACAGGTTCTACCTGTGGGTCTTGATAATGAAGCCTTTCCATTTAAGAAGGTTTGTATGGAAATCCTGAAAGAGCAGAAATCCACAAGCCCTAGACAATTCCATCTGAACGCTTGCCTTTTCCTGAGTCTTTTTGTTTTCTGAGCAAGGTAGTTTTGGCATTTGTGTCTTGGATTTTGCAAAAAGCACTAAAGCAGGATTTAGCTTCTTGTTATTTTGTCACTTACGTGTGTTTCCCTTAACAATAGTTACAAATCCTGTGAAAGTAATTTGGTGTGTTTCTTGTTTATTGTAGCACTGGAATATCCCAACCTTGATATATCAGAAACAACCAGAGACTACTGGGTAATCACAGGTAATCCCTTCTGTTGTCATTTCTGCTCTTCGTGCTGTCAGGTTGACTCATTTTTAAACACTGCAAGCCATTGAGTTATAGGACTGGGACTTTCTTCGGTCCTGTCTTAAAAGTCAGGGAGTTACTTTTATAGGACCAGAAGTGAACAGAATAAGTGGGGTAAGAAAAGACATCACACTGAAGATGAATATTAGCTAAAGAGTTCAGAAACGCCACCTTTCCAGTCCTTACCCAGTGGCATCTTTGCAAAAAGTGGCCCTATTGGAGTATAAATGTCTTAATACAATAATTAAGTAAACGAGATGAGGTATGTATTAACCAGTGTGATGTAAATGTTCCTAATTCTATGTGAAATGAGCACATTGTACCCATAAATGCATTAATGTATACATTACCTATGTGTTTATGATCTAATAAAAAAATAGAAAAGAAAAAGAAGTTTCTAGCACTAACTTCTGGACGTCTAGGTCACGTCCATGTGAGTGGTTAGCTGCTATAGACGGTAGGCCTTTCTGCACTGCCCTGTGAAACCCAGGTTGAAGTCAGAGGAGGGCCAGGCGTGCGCTGTCTCCCTCCCTTGGTGCAAGCTGTGCACCCACACTAATCCAGCGCGTGCTGACAGTGAGGGCGGGCGGAAGTGGAAGGGGTTCTGGTGGCGGCGTCTTTTCTATTCCTTGACATTTTCCAGAAAAGCTTTATGGAATGGCAAAAAAGTTCTTGTTTATGTTTTTCAAAAGCCAGACAGTAGTTCTAGAAGTTAGAGAAACCAGGTTTGAGAGCAAAGGGAGAACAGAAGTTTGTAGGAAGAGAAGTGACCAGCACAGCCAGAGAGGGAAGGAACAGAAGGGGAAGTCTATGAGTCTGTTCAGGCTGCTGTAACAAAGGGCCACGGACTGGGTGGCTTAAACAACAGACATGTGTTTTCTCACACATGTGAGTCTGAGGTCAAGGTGTCCCAGGTTGGCATCCTCTGAGGCCTCCCCCCATGGCTTGCAGGTGGCCATCTTCTCCTGTATCTACATGTGGCCTTCCCTCTAGGCCTGTGTGTGTCCCAATCTCCTCTTTGTATAAGGACACCAGTCATGCTACACTAGGGCCACCCTAATGACCTCATTTTACTTTCATTACCTCTTTAATATCCCTGTCTGCAAGTGCAGTCACATTCTGAGGTCCTGGGGGCTTAGAATTCAACATAGGGATTTGAAAGGACACAATTCAGATCATCCTGAGGAGAGATGGAAGCCATACCTGGGTAAGCAGGCTGGTCTCAAACTTCCAGTATTTTTTTTGTTGCTTGTTTGTTTTCTACTTTTTGGTTTTTTGAGACAAAGTCTTACTCTGTTACCACAGTGTGTGCAGTGGTGTCATCGTAGCTCACTACAACCTCAAACTCTTGGGTTCAAATGATTCTCCTGCCTCTCCCAAGTAGCTGAGATTAGAGGTGCTAAAATTTTTCTGGTTTGGTAGAAATGGGGGTCTCACTCTTGTTCAGGCTGATCTTGAATGCCTGAGCTCAAGGATCCTCCCACCTCAGCTTCCCAGAGTGCCAGGATTACAGGCATGAGCCTCCACAGCCATCCTCAAACGGCTTCTTCTGGCTCCTATCCTCTCCCTCACTTGCAGTCCCAAACAAGCAGCAGATGGGCCGCCACCTGAGAGACTAACTGAGGAGTGTATACCCCTTGCTTAATGAAGCCTGCTCAAGACCACTTTTAAAGTTGTTCTGTATATTTTTCAAAGCTACCATTTATTCACAATTACTGTGGGGGAAAGTATGCACCTTTCAAATCAGCAGGAGGCCCCAGCGAGGACTGAACTTGAGACCCCTGATTTACAAGACCAGAGCTCTAACCATGGATCCATGGAGCCCACCCACCCAAGACCGCTTTTAAATTGCAGAAAATTACATTTCTGGCCTCCCCTACCCCTGTGGAGCCGTAGATATGCAGAGATTATTTTGCCTGCTAAGCAGGCTAGCAAAAAACCAACCCATCAGAGTTTATGCCCAAGAGAGAAACAATGCTAACCCAGCAACACATTTTTGGAGCCAGCAGGTTATGTAACATTTACAAAATCATGTTTCTTCCACAAGGAATGGTACTTTTTAACTTGCAGACATTTTCCCTTATCTCTTAACTATAAGGTTTACTTTAAATGATAATGCATCCACCCTTGAACACCTGGCCGTCCAGGACAACGTCCTGTGATGCTCTTTCCTCAAATACCCCTGTCTTGCCCTGCCTCTAATTTGGTGACTAGCCTTCATAAAAAGCTCTACACGTGGCCTTGTTTTCAGGACTCTCCAGGAACTTAACCCTCTCCCCACTCGCTTACGAAAGCCTTATTTGTCACTGCTGTCTGTGATTAGACACTTGGGGGTTTCCATCACCATCTTGGAGCTTTTTGGGTCAGCGATAGGGCTGGGGAGGGACTGGAGCCAGGTATCGGGATGACCATTCTACTTTCCCATTAGCCCACGACCACCTTCTGTGCCCCTGGGTAGCCACGACCCACCTGCCCCTTCATTCACAGAAGGGGTGGAGCATGGGGAGCTGAGAGGTGAAGGGAGCTCAGCTCAGCCTTCACTTCCAGGCAGGCATCACGCGCTGTCTTCTGCTTGTTGCTAACAACTAAGACGATTTGGAGCAACTTCCCTTTCTGCGGCTTGTATTATAAAAGCCTGACGTGTTTTCATCTGTTTTCCAACTAAACTTAAATAGATGTTTGCAAGCTGTTCACTTCTCTTTTCCCAGAGCGAGGGTCTCACCTTGATGGGGAATCATTGGCTTATGGTGACTCCTGTGGTCCCTCTTTTCTAGGGGCTACCCTTCTGTCCAGGGACCCTGCAGTCAGGTTTGTATGTATGAGGCAAGATAGAAATGTTCAGACTCAGTATTACTGCCCGAGGGAGGTAAGAGCCCATCTCAGGTTTATTTCACCCAATGGATTTAACCATGGAAGGGTTTCTTCTGGTCTCACCTCTGCTATTTGCTAGGTGTCCTTGAGCAAGCCCTGAGGCCCTCTGCCCTTCACACTCTCACCTTTAGGATGAGGGAGAGGGGTTAGCTGACCATTAAGACTCAGTGCTGGATGTATAAGATTTGGCCACAAATAAAACCATCTTGAGTATAGAACGCAGAGCCAGGCCTGATGGTTGGAATTGTAGAGCCCAGGGTGATTGTAAATCAAGAAGGAATAAGAGCAGTGATGTAAAATCACCTCCTTTGAACACCATTGGGGACTTGCCCACTTCTTCTAAGCTGAATTAGTGGAGACTGAAGGCTGGGTGGTCAGAGAGAGCCCTGGCTGATATGCTAAAAGGGTCACCTGCTTCCCGGATGCCTGCACCAGGCTTGATCTTTTATGGCTCTGCAGCTTCTGTGTCACTGTGAGAGACAGGGGTGCACACCCCTTCCTGCTGCCTTCCAGGGGGCCTGCCATGCTTCTCAGGGCAAGGGAGAGGAGTTACATCCTGGGACACATTTCCATGCTGTCCGTGTCATTTTCTTCCTCTCTTAAGGATGTGTCTAGTGAAGAAGGGGGCACATGATGACAACAGCAGCTCCCATTTACTAAGCGCCACGGAGCACTATGCTAAAGCATTTTTATCAGATCATCTGTGCTCCACAATGCCAAAATCAGGAGTAGATGGGATCCCCGTGTTCCTGGATGAGAAACTGAGGTTCAGAGAAACTCAGAGACTTACCCCAGAGTGCTCAGTAAGTGGGTGGCAGGATTCAAACTGCCTTCCACCCCAGCTCTCCCGGCTACCCCCAGGGAAGGACTCATCCTCTTTGCCAACAGCAGGGATGAAACACTGGGATTGCCTGGTTGTTGATTCCCTGTAACTCTGTGGGGATGCCCCATGGCCTCCTGCACTTCCTTGGACCATTTCTTTTTCCAAAAAAAGTTTTATGATAAAATACACCTAACATAAAATTTTAACCATTTTTAAGTGTATAGTTCAGTGGCAATAGGTACATCTATGGTGTACCTTTGCAGAATTTGTCACCTGGAGGCTCTTGACTGTTCCCTATATTTGATGTCTGCCTTTGGATCATCACTGAGATACCTGCAAAATAATCTACGATGATGCCCTGCAACTCTCCCACATCCCCTCTCTCAGGCTGGTCCGGGGCCAGGAGAAGCCTGTTTGGAAGCAATCTGTCAGCAGGTCGAGCTGTAATTTTGCTAGAGGAGGCATCTTTGAACCAGTGAGTGCAGGGATTTTTCTATCTGGGCCAGCAGGTAGGCCAGCCCTTCCTCAGCCTGCTGGCTATGTCGGGAGGGGTCCTCTCAGGGACCCGAGGCATTGGGAACAGCGCAGGCCTTGTTTCATCTTTGTGTGCAGGAATCCTGCTGATGAATGAGCTGGGAGCCCCTCCTGAGGGCCCTAGAAAGAGAGTTGCTTTAAACCCTCCAGGGGGATTATTTGGCATTTATGGCTTCAAAGAAGTAATTTCTGAGACCCAGCTGTGGGTTTTATTTCTCTCTTGATCCGTTTAAACATCATTCTCTGTATCTCATTGTTGCCAGCTGCTTGCTCTGGCCTCATACAGAATGTGGTTGTTTGGAATTTGCTGCTGGCAGCGCCCTGTTGTACTGGACACTATAATGACCACACGTTCTTTATGTCCAAACCATTTCCCAATCCTAGTAGATGGGTGGTGTTGATGATCCTTGGCTGGACTGTGGTAGAACAAACTCTATTAAGTGAAAAGTCTTATATTACATTCCCAGCCCTTATAAATTTTGGTTTCTTTAAGAGGATGAGATTTGTTTTTAGCATTTTTAAAATTTTGACATGACTGTGATTGTAGGCAATGTTTGTGTGTTTGGGGTGAAATGTGCTTCCCAAGGGACGTGGAGCAAGGACTGGACTTGGGGGTAGGCAGAGAAAGGCAGTTGTCCTTGTAGTAAGTGAATATAGCAGTCTAAGGATGGCCCTGGTGTGCACTAACACCCTCCTACATGGACTAGCTACCTGTTGATAACAGGAGCCCTGGGTGTACACGAAGCCTCACAGTGGAGGAGGGTTTGGAAAGAAAGGAGTTTCCCATACCTGCTCTAGGTGCTATGCTAAGCTGTTTTATCCATCCCATCCCATCTCATTTAAACCTTAAAGCTCATTAGGAGCTTTGCTAATTAGGAGTATTTGCTATGACGTATTTGCTGTGATGTGCATTGTTTTATTCCCATTTTATAGAGAAGGATGTGGATTTAGGGAGGGCCAGAGTTTCCCTATGGTCTATTGGCTGGCAAGTGCCAGAACCAAGAGAGAACCCACTTTGCATTAATCTGAACTGTGTTTGAATGGGAGAGGACCTGAGGGGCCCTGGGCAGCTTTAGGGTGGGCACCAAAAGGACTGCACACAAGAGGGAGAGATGAAGATGCTGAACAAGGCAGTTTGCCCAGATGTAAGGGGTTGAATTACAGAGTGAAGCCCAGGTTCTTCAGCAAAGCTATTGAGAAGGAAAAATAAAATAGGGGTAGTCCTGAGCTGGGACTTCTGAGTGAAAACTAGCAAAAACCTCTGCCTTCTGCGTCCACAGTGCTGCAGGGTGTGGACAATTCACTGGTGGGCCTGCACAACCAGAGCTTCGCCCGGGTCATGGAGCAGCGCCTGGCCCAGCTGTTCATGATGTCCCAGCAACAAGGCCGGCGGTTTAAACGAGCCACCACCCTGGGAAGCTACACCGTGCAGGTGGGTGTGTGCAAAGCCACTGGGGTTTTCTAATAGCTGTGTGTAAAGGTGTACAGTGGCCCATCCATGCTGCAAACTTTAAAAAGCCGTTTAGTCAACACTATTTTCAGGTTTTGGTATTGAGAGCTCCTTCTCCTACCTTATCTCTAACTAGATTATAAAGAAAGGAAGTCTCAGAACAAAATCTGCACACATGCAGGTACTGATGAAACAAAGTTCTTCGTAAGCAAGTACAAACTCCATCATCAGCCTGTTCTGTAAGTTCAGTGAAGTCCAGCTCTCTGTCCATTTAGGCCATCTCACTGCCACTACTATGAATGGCAGGGTTCTGTTATCTGTATTTAGTCATTTTCAACGAAAAGAACCCTCCAGGCATATAGTGAACACCTGACCACATAGAGATTTAGGCCAGGGAGAGGTAGCAGGCACTAGAGGGGCCCTGCCTGTATCTCTTTACCATTGCTGCACACGCTGATTGGAATTCTAATAGCTGCCCCTGGATCTTTGTTGGGGATCTCTTGAGATCCTGAATTCCACTTTGCACATTCCATATTGGCCAGAATTGCCTGGGATAGACTGATGAAGGTGTAAATATCCCAGCTCTTTCACCTCTTTGGTAGGAGGATTCTGAAATGTATGTTTCAGATCATTTCTAGAGCTTTCCTACAGAATCAAGCTTTAACCACCCTCTTTGGGGAGCTGGCTCAATAACACACCACTGGTAGACTCCATTCCCATCCTTGTGTCGCTTGCTCACCCTCCTGTCAGTTCCTATATCTCTCAGATCAATACCAGCACTCAGCTCTTCTCAGGGTTTGCTCCTGAGTGAACCTGATCAAGGCAGGGGTAAAGGTTCTCAGCCTTTCTGGTTGCCTTATCTAGTTCCTGCAGATGTAGGGGCATCTGTAGCATGTTCTAGCCAATCCACGTATTTTTTGAGTACCCGTAATTTCACCAAGGAAAACCCATCTCTAACATGGTAATGCTAATCAGCAAAGCTCTGTTGACCATGATCAAATTAACAGAAGTATTCCTGGCAGCTGCCTCTGGAGTGGGTATTTCCTCATTGGAATCTAGACGACTACTCCTGGCGTGTGAACCCCTGATTGGTCATTGACCACATCTAGAGTGTAACTGAACACTACGAGGAAGCATTTTAAGGGAAATTGCAGCTGTTGGCACAGTCTGTCTGCAGATCATGTCCCCAGGCAATCTTGTGAGTACGAATAAGCCGTCCTCTAGAACACATCTCCCTGTATGAGTCAGCATCATGCCCCTGATGGAGACTCCCAGTCTTTCCATTCACAGTTGGTGAATTTGACCCTTTGTTGCATTGGTTCTAAAATCTTTGTGGTCTGTGACAGCCTCATCGTGAGGTAAGGTGATGGTGGATTTTGTGTAGGTTCCATGTGAGCTCAGTAATTTACACTTTGCCAAATGACAAAAAAGAAGTCACTGGTGCTCTGACAGCTGTGAAATGGGATTTGCATCAGCCAAAGGGGGAGAAAGGACCACACTACAATCCTGGTGTTATTTGTAAACCTAAGAAGCCTAACACATTCCGCATACCTCAAAGGGCCCAGAGACATGTTCTTTCTCTCTTTCCTTCTATGGGCTTAGTGTATGTGGCCCCTTTAGCTACCTGGAAAGTGTCAGGGAAGTAAGTGGGGGTTTATTTCTGCAAATCTCTAATTGACAGGGGCTGTAGATCACCTTCTAACTTCACCCTTAAAGAAATGTTGGTAAGAAGAATTTGCTATTAAATCAAAATCTAGTGAAGTTATTAGATATTTGAATGGTTGTTCGCCTTCCTCCTTGTTATATTAACACTCTCCCCACCTTTTTCCCAATAGGGAAAAGAAGAAAATGCCCAAGTTTCCCCGCTAAAAATTCACTCTACGCAGCTTGTATCCTTCTTCCACCCAGAGGCCTTTCTTCTGGGCTCAGGTCATTTTAAAAGATGAGCTTCCTTCATGAATATGGAGATTTACATGTCTAAAATTTAAAGATATTTCTCTAGCTCACATATTACAAAAATTGAATCCTAAGAAGAAATACATATGACTAGTAATTTTTTGAATGTTTGTCATCATTTGTAGTCAAAGTAATATGAATAAGATGCCATTTTCACTACCAAAGACTAGCAAAATAGTTTTACCTAATAATGATGAGGATAAGGTGAAATAAGCTTTTTTTTTTTTTTTTTTAGACAGAGTCTTATTATGTCACCCTTGGTAAAGTGCTATGGCATCACAGCTCACAGCAACCTTCAACTTTTGGGCTTAAGCGATTCTCTTGCCTTAGCCTCCCGAGTAGCTGGGACTATAGACACCTGTCACAATGCCCAGCTATTTTTTGTTGTGGTTGTCATTGTTGTTTTTTAGCTGGCCCAGGCCGTATTTGAACCTGCTACCCTCGGTGCATGTAGCTGGCACTGTAACCACTGCACTACAAGCGCCAAGCCAGAAGTGAGCTTTTTTAAACAGAGTAAATGAGTATGACCTTTCTGGATGGCAAGTGAGTAATTTAGAAAAGAACCTTTTAGATGTTCACAAACTAACTCCTAGAAATTCATCTTAAGGAGCTGGAGGAGAAAGCAAAGACAAAGAGCAAGGACATTGTTTCCAGAGAGTGTCCAGAAAAATAATCCCATCAGGTGCCTTGAGGCAAAGGTGCTGTCTGTGGTTGGGGCAAGTCAGTATCCCATAGCCCCTTCTTAAAGATTCTCAAAGCATATTTTCATACCCAGACTCTAGGAAGACCTGAAGTAAAAAAAAATCTCCTTAATTTTGTTCGACATACTTGTTTCCAAATTCACATGTCAACAAGACCCCGTTTTTAGTAATGTCTACATTTCCCCAACATTTTATTATGGACATTTTCTTTTTTTTTTTTTTTTTGGCTGGGGCTGGGTGTGAACCTGCCACCTCTGGCATATGGGGCCAGCACCCTACCCTTTTGAGGCACAGGAGCTGCCCCTATGAACATTTTCAGATTCACAGAAAAGTTGAAAATATTATGCAGTGAACACCCATATGCTCACTATCTAGGTTCTGGAGTTAATATTATATTACTATTTTGTATTTGAAAACATATATCATTTTTCATACACTTTCCATAACACACATTTCCCTACACTTCCAAACTGCAGATCAAAGTTCTAGAACTTCATACAAATGGATTCCTATAGCACATACTCTTTTGGGTAAAGCTTTTTGATCCAGCACAGTGTTTTGGTGATTCATCCATGTTATTTTATTTTATTTTTTACTGGGTCATGTTCTCTTGTGTGAATATACTACAGTATGTTTATCCATTCTTCTGGTTCCAGTTTGCAGCTCTTTAGCAAGGCTGCTATGAACATTCTTCTGCAAGTCTTTGTGTGGCCAGTGCTTTCATTTTTCTTGGAAATAGGTGTGGAATTACCGGTTCATCGGGTTGGTATATGTTAACTCTTTAAGAAATGGCTTGACCTTTCACCAAAGTGGTTGTACCATTTATACTCCCATGAACCAGATTTGGAATTCCAATTGTTTCACATCGTCACCAACACTTGGTGTTGTCAGTCTTTCTTAGACATTCTGATGAATCCATAGTGGTATCTTGTGGTTTCAATTTGAAGCCCCCCACTGAGCGTTGTGTATGTGCTTAGGCTATTCCAATATCTTCCTTTATGACATGTCTGTCAGATAGTTTGCCCATTTTTTACTGGGTTGTAGTAATATCTTTTTTTTATTTTTTATTTATTTATTTTTTTAGACAGAGCCTCAAGCTGTCGCCCTGGGTAGAGTGCTGTGACGTCACAGCTCACAGCAACCTTGAACTCCTGGGGTTAAGTGATTCTCTTGCCTCAGCCTCCCAAGTAGCTGGGACTACAAGCACCAGCCACAATACCCACCTATTTTTTGGTTATAGTTATCATTGTTGTTTGGCAGGCCCGGGCTAGATTCAAACCCCCCAGCTTCAGTGTATATGGCTGGCGCCTTAGCCGCTTGAGCTACAGGCTCCGAGCCAATATCTATTTATTAATTGTTATATATAGTGTGCATACGAAAGAGTATAAGAAATATGCAGAATTCAGAGAACACTAATAGAAAGAACCCACAGCCCAAAGGGTAAGAAGATTACGCTTAACTTACCCCAGAAACTTCTCTGATTATACTCACTTCCCTCCCTTCAGACTTGAGCATTATTCTAACTTTCGTATTAAATCATGTCTGTATTTTTCATATAGATTTTACTATCCACGTGTGTATCCCTAAATAGTACATCGTGTTGTTTTGCCTTTTTTTGAATTGTATAGCCCAACATCAGGCTTTTGTATTCATCCGTGTTGATACAAACAGCCATAGTTCACTCATCTTCACTATTGCGTGTTATTTCCTTGTGGGACTAGACCTTAATTCATTCATTCAGCCTGTTATTAATGACTTTAGAACTTTCAAGATTTTCATTATTATGAAAAAAGGTGCTATAGACCTTTTGGTAATATCTTTTATTATTCTATGAAACGCTCCGTAACATACACTTTGGGAAATATACATTTATCAATTGTTAATTTTAACAGCAAAAAGTTGATAACATAAATGTTCAATAATAAAGGGTTAGTTAAATGTACCAGGCGTGCATATAATAGAATGGTATGTAGGTTTTAAAATTTATGCTTTACTATTTATGATTATCAATTTTTAATTGCAATAGTAAAAAATTAGTAACAATCTGAAGATTTTAGTCAAATAAATTTATGAGGTATGCATTAGAATACCATGTAAAATAAACCCTACACTTTTGTTATATTTGAGGCCATAAAAAGATACAAGTAAAAATAGCAAGATACGTTATATAGAGTGTGATAGATAATAAAGGTTTGGTGGGAAAAAACAAAAACGGAAACAAACGCTTCACAATGATAATAATGAGCTTGTGGTCGAGAGAGTATAGAATGTTTTTATTTTATTTCATTTCTTGATGTTTTTCCATATTTTAAAACTTCCCTATAGTTTTATATATAACTTTTACAGTGGAAAAAAAAAAAAGGTAGCAATATTGTTTTAGAAAAAGAACTTAGAGTTTCGAAATCCTGCTTATATCAGAGATCATTGGAGCTGCAAGCATAAAAGTTTTTTCTTTCCTTTCTGGCAATTGTAGATACTTGAAATTAAAAGTCTCATTGGAGAATAACCTAACATGCCCTGAATTAAATGTGAAGGCCTATTTTCGAATGAGGCCAGAGTTCTGTGGAGGCTGGGTAACATCACTATCCCATGTTTTCTTCTCCAACCTCAAACTGCTCTTTTTAGATGTTCACATCTTTCACGGCTGTTTTCTCCTCCCAGTCTCCTGCTCTGGTGCAAGTAGGCTTCCTGAAATGTTGGCTATAGGGAGAGATGCAAAGGTTGGTGTCTAACATGTCCTTTGTGGGTCCACTTAGCCACAGAAGTCGGGAGGAGAGAGCCTGCTGATTGCCTGAATGATCACGGGGTCAGTGCAAGATGCCCTGTAAACACACAGCCTCTCTTTTTCCGAAAGATGGTAAAGATGCAGCGTGTGCCAGGCCCGAAGGACCCAGCGGAGCTGACCTACTACACCTTGTACAACGGAAAGCCTTTGCTGGGGACTGCAGCTGCCAAGATCCTGAGCACCATTGACTCCCAAAGGATGGCCTTGACCCTGCATCACGTCGTCCTTCTGCAGGCTGACCGTAAGGGGATAGTCTTTCCATTTCATATTTCTCATGCCGTTTAAGTATTCCTTGCAAATCAAAGTGATTCTCCAACTCATGTTCATAGTCTCAGAGCTAACCCTATTTCCATGTTGGAAAGTTCTTACTTAAGTCAACCAGCTATGTTTTCTGTGTTGTTTGACGGAATAGGCTTTGGGTAAGGGATACATTTTGGATATTGGAATGATGGTAATGATAGCACTTTGCCCCCAAGTCCTACTTAGTTTTCTTCTTCAGCATAATCTCAGTGAACAGCTATGAAAAAAATTACTATAGCTGAGATTATATTTGTGTGCTGGGGAAATTAAAACTAATTTGATTCAACAAGCATTTATGGAGTCCTGCTTGAACCGTGCTTAGTCCTAGAGGATGTGCAGAAGTGGGAGCCCTGGTTTCTGCTTTTTATGGAGCAAGAGGAGTTAACGAAGTCGCAGTGGAATCAAATGCAGGAAGGTAACGTGACACAGGGCCCAGGAGAGGGAGGGCTTGCTTTGCAGGGGCATCTGGAAAGAACAAACAGAGGAAGGATATGAAAAATAATAGCTGCCTCTTTGAATAGCCTCTCCTGTGGCAGCCGCTGTACCCGTTGCTTTACCTGGATGTTCTCACTTTCCACTCTCACTGGGGCAATGTTTACTCAGATTCAAACTGTAGGAGAGGAAACTGAGGCTCCTAAAAGTTAAAATACCTGCTCAGCATCACAGAAAAAAAGTACTTAGGTAGGTGAGATATGAATCTAGATCTGTTAGACTTGGAACCTATATTTTTAACTGGGTTACACCCACAGGCTTCATCATACGGGAAGGGGGGATTCCTGAGAGAGGGGCAGGAAGAGCAAAAGAAAGGAGGTGAAAAGTACCTGGTGTGCTGGAAAACCAAGAGTTCTAATTGCCTGCAGGAGTTGATGGGATCACAAGGGTGTACTGAATGGGAGAGTCAGGCCTTCCATGGCAAGGGAAGGAGAACGGCCAGGGGGTGCTGTGCAAGATTTCTGAGCAGTGGAGTCACATAATTGAAACTGTGCATTCTTCAGAGGTCAGTCTATGTCCAGGATAGGAGGAGACAGGAGGTGACAGGACAAGTGAGGCTCTACAGCAGTGTTTCTCAACCTTTTTTATCTCATGGCACACTGGAACCTATAGTTAAACTTCCATGGCACACTTACGTTATGTTGATCAAAAAAGAAAGATTTAAAAAAGAGTATACTAACTGTGCTTTGAATGTCTTTTGAAAATAATGTAATTAATGATCTTTAAAAATTTGGGGTGCTGGGCATGGTCACTCTGGGAGGCCAAGACAGGTGGATTACTTGAGCTCAGGAATCCGAGACCAGCCTGAGCAAGAGTGAGACCCCGTCTCTAAAAATAGCTGGGTGTTGTTGTGGGTGCCTGTAGTCCCAGCTACTTGGGAGGCTGAGACAAGAGGATCACTTGAGCCCAGGAGTTTGAGGTTGCTGTGAGCTATGATGCCACAGCACTCTACCAAGGGCAAAAAAGTGAGACTCTGTCTCAAAAAAATAAAAAAAAATTCTTTTCCACAGCACACTGGTTGGAAATCACTGTTCTATGGTGGCCCAGGCATTGAGGACTCAAACAAGGGCTATAAAGGAAATGCAGGAAATTGAAGGTGAAAGATCATACGTTAAGATGTTAGTATTTGAGCAGGGAAGGGCATGGAAGGTCATCTCTCCTGGGTTTTCTAGTTGGTGTCCACACTCGTTGAGAACCTGTCAACTATTTGCCTCAGCTGTATTGCTGCGTGCTCTTTATGTGGGCTCCCCAGACTGCTGGTCTCATCCCTTTCTCCCATACATCATAGAAAATATGAGTGAAGACCCTTGCAGGTACCAGATGAGAGGTGAAAGTGCTAGAGGTGGACACTCAGAGAAGGGGGTGAATTGGGGTATCTACAGGGACAGAGTCCACTGAATAAGACAATGGATTCTGTGTGTGGCAGGAGAAGGAGGTGGTGTGGGAGAAATGAAGGCTGACTCCTAGGAGTTGGGTTGAGCACTAGGTGTAGTGTCATTTATTGAGATGCAAAAGGTATAGGACCAAGAGGTTGATTATTGGGGCTGGCAGATGGAATTGAGAGTTTGGATTTAGATATGTTAGGTGTGGGGTGTTGACTGCAGACATCCACGTGGTGCTCAGGAGACATGAACTTAGGAGTTATCAACATAGAAACAACATTTACAGCTAAGGGAGTAGGTGATAATCACCAGGAGATGAGAGCCCTGGGGAATCCATGTTGGAAAGCAGAGGACACCAGTCAGGAGCCCCGGGGGTGGGGGTGGTGGGAGGAAGCCCAGGAGAGTGGGGATGATCCAGAAAACATGCAGAGAAAGTGAATTGCAGAGGACTGAGCTACTGTGCCAGTGTTCTTTCTTGAGAGGCAGAGTAACATAAGGATGGTGATTAATGGGCTTTGGTAAGGTGGCTGTTGTGACCTGGGTGGGAGTGGTCAGGACCAGAGGGCTAAGGAGAGAAACTGGGTGGGAAAGTAGTAATGGCGAATAGGAGAATTCTGATGACTGGGGCACTTGCCAGAGAGAGGCACATGGCAGATAGTGGCGTGGGCCTGAATGCCAATGGGGATGCCATAATAAAGAGAGAGGTGGGACTTGTAGGAGCAAAATCTTTGAGTGGCTGAGGGGCCGGAACCTGATGCACAGTGGAGGGGGCCACAGGGTCCGGGGGAATCAGAGTACAGGGTCTATCTGGTGATGGTTTCCTGGAGATGCTATCTCTGCTCCCTTGGGCATAATGAAATGAAGCTGGCGGTCAAGGCCAAGTTTATGGTGGAATTTGAGCTGGGATGCAATATTGCACCCCAAGAATGAGTGCCTCCAATCTTCTTGGTCCTCACTGCTATGTGTGGCCATTTCTTCCCCTCTTTCACCATCCCAGATCCTTTAGAGACACCCCAACCCAGGCCCCTGTCACTCTAGTGGGGCCTTTCACTCCTGGCACTTTGTCCTGTCCTCTCCATCACGTCTGTCCTAGAACAGCTGCTACTTTGACCTGTCAGTTCTATGACCTCTAAATTTTCCGCCCCAAGCTTATGGTGCTTGGGTCCAAGGTGGAAGCAAGAGTGCATGGAGTGTCAAGAGAAAAGCTTGAGGCTAAGTGGCAGTTGGTGGGGAACAGTGGATTGGGTCCAGAGCCTGTGCAGAGGAGACAGAGCCCATCAGGTGAGATCTGGAAGTGAGGATCTGGGTGGCGTGGGAGGGCCGGGCTCAGCTGCTGCTTGGAGATCCAGGAGTTGAGCCATGCTCTGCCTGTCTGCAAAGCTGCCACCTGGTAACCCTTTCAACTGTCCTCTTTCATCTCCTCACATCTGCTTAGTCTGCTTGGCTCCCTTCTCCACTCACTTACAGATCCTTTCCCCCATTCCATCATTCTCTCCCCCTTGGACTGTGGCAGGAGCTGCCCAAAGGACTCACCCTCACTCACTCTACATAGATGTGCCTCCCACTCGTAATTGGAATCATTGTCATACATGGATTCTGACCTGATGTGGCCTACACTTTAAAAAAAATTGGTGGCTCTCTGTCACAGAATAAAATCCAAACTCCTTAAAATGTGTCTTCACAGCAGGCACTCACCAGGTGTTCACGATGTCGTTCTCAGGCTTTTTTCCCCTCCTGCTTTTCTCTCCTTCATATCCAATGCTCCCACCACATGGGAGCGTCCATCCTGTATGCTCCCTCTTTCTCAAAGCCTCTCCTGGCCTCTGAGGCATAGCACTCAGCTCCCTTAGTTCCAGGGGCTTCCGTTGCCCTGATTGCATCAAGCAATGGTGAGTTGTTTTCTGTCTTTTTCCTTCGTGAGCTCTTTACCAGCAGGCACCACGTCCCCTTCATCTTGGAACATCCAGCCCAGTTCCTGCGTGACTCTGTTCTTGGAAAGGCAAAGGATCCACCCTTCCAGATGGGGCTGCCAGGTGTTAAGAGAGGCCCATGGTGAGGGGACACTGTAGCAGCAGAGAGGGGAGCCTCGGAGTTAAGGCAGTCTGGGCCCTGCTGGGCCCTGCTCTTCTACTTTCCAGTAGTGGAGATTGGAGTCAAATGAATTAGCCTGTCTGATCTTCATTTTCCCACCTGTAAAATGGTAATATAATGTAATATATTATACACACATATGTAATAGAGCTACTCAGAAAGTTGGAAGGGGTAATCATTGCCTGTAAAGGGTTTGGTAGTGTCCTGAGGCACCTGTTAGAATATAGTAAGTGGCAGCAGCATGTCTTCTTTATCGGTGATGTAGGAGGACTGAAGGAGAGAGGGGTTGAAGAAGAAGGAGACTTGGAGGTTGAGAACCCAGGTAGTACAGAGAACAGGGGCTAATAAGGAAGCTGGAGAGAAGGGGGTTTGATAAAAGAAGATCATTTATTGTTTGGGCCCTGTTGAGTCTAAGGTGATGACAATGTATCAAAGGTGCTGGTGGGATACTGCAGAGGTCTTGCTGGGATGTGGAGGAGGTGCTGATAGGATATCTGGTCAGGGTTAGGAACTATGTTTGGAATTTAAGGGAGAGATTCAATTTAATACTATAAACTTCGAGAATTTTGTAGATGTAGGTTAGAGTTAAAATCTCAGAAAAATGTGAGTTTCTGGGAAGGAAATAAAGCCAGTGGAAGGAAGAAGAAAGCAAGAGGACAGATTTGGAGAACGATCTTCATCCCCAGGAGCAAATGAGGAAAAGATAAGGCCAATGAGGAGGAGGAGGGCAGAGATTTTTAAAGTCCTGTTTTCTCCCAGTAGTTTTAAAATCAGCCTGCAATGTTAACCTGAGGTGAGGACTTTGAATAAAGAGTCATAGGGTTGGACACTTTGTCCCCCTGAAGAGAGACAATTAGTGCTCTGTGTGTTCTAATGAAAATCTCCAGTTCTGGGGCCAAGGCTGGAGTGTGCAATGCCTGCTCAACCCCCACCACCTCTGGTAGCATTTCACTCCTAAGGAAGCAGCTGTGTATCTGATGGAGGTTTGCATTTGCAGGGTCTGGAGTGAGGGGCTCTGCAGAGCGGTTCTCCAGTTGATGGAGGCCACAGGTGCCCCACCTATGTGGGAGATTGAATATATTATTTGTTTCAACCCATTCAGGAATGTAAGCTCCAAAGAGGGTAGGGAGTTTTGTCCATTTCCTACACTCTCCCATGTCTAGAGCAGTGCCTGGCACATAGTAGGTGTCCAATAAATGTTTGTTGAATGAATAAATGAGCATGAGTCCTCTTCCCCAAAGCATCAGCCTATTTCTTGTTTTAGGTGGCATTTTTTTATTTGAGATAAATGTCTGATGGCCACATAAGGCACAACACTTCCTGCTTTAGTCTGCTTCTCCTTGGGGAGACTGATACAAAACAAATCCTTTCAATAAAGAGATTTGTTTTATGAAGTTTGGATTCAGTCAAGAGGCTGCACTCAAGGATTCAGTGGCCACATGTGGCCTCAAGGCTGCAGGTTTCCTACCCTTGCCGGATGCCAAGAAGATAATGGTTGCAATTTAAAAGTGTTGGGACATCCAGAAGAGGATCACTGAAGAAGTAACCCTTGAGTAACCCAGTAACTGTCTGAAGGAGCAGAGGGCAGGAACAGTTCCTTAGGATATCTGGGGACCAGATTCTAGACAGAGGGCAGAGGCCTGGAGGGGACAGAGTAGTAGTCATGAGGACTGAGGTGCAGGCCAGGGACCACGATCACAAGGGCCTCTTGGGCTGGGTGCCAGCAGGATGAGGAGCCATTGGGGGTGGGAGGGTTGGCAGAAGAGTGGCCTGGACTGTGTGCTCACCAGCCTCCTGGCCCTGAGCAGACTCTTCCCTGCATCCACTCACACCAGCTGTGAACTCTAATGTTAGAGACACAGGTGACAGCTGCAAAAATGAGCTGGAAACATTTTTGATGGATTCCTTCTCCTTCCAACATTTGTTCCATGTGAAAAGAACTTATTTTGTGTTTAGATTATTTGAACCCTTGACCATTCCTTCTGACAAATACTTGTGCATTTGTATACTTCCACTCATGTGTGCTAACTCAAAACTTAACTGCGACTACTAAAGAGAATTGACTTTTCATAAAAATATCTGACCTCCATGGGGCTCAGTTTCCTCATCTGCAGTTTGGGGATGAGAATAGCAGGCAGGCAGAGGTCCTATCACAGCGTCTAACCCACCAACTGTGCTCAGAACATGTCTTTTTTTCCCTATATCCCCTCCACTGAAATTCTTGCAATTTCAATAACCATTCTATTCCTTTTCACCTTCAGATATGACTTTGTACTTTTAGATCCTTATGCCAATGAACGTATTGGGTTTGGATGACTTCAGGTGACCTCATTTTACTCTTATTTTGACAGTTAAAGGAATTTATTAATGTGCACAAGGTAAATCTATTCTCTGCTCATTTAAATATACATGAAGGAATTTTACATATTGCACCAAGAAGAAACACATCCATTAAAACCATGAAACTGAGTAAAATCGGAGTGCATAAATATTTCATTCTTGCTAATGAAAAAATATATATTTGTTTAAGTTGTACATACACTGGATACATTATCCATTTTTCTCCATCAGGATAAAATAGCCTAGTCAAAAGTGGCATATTGATTTTTTTCAAAGAACCTCTAAGCTTTAAAAAATGTTAATGACATAAAACTCACATATAAATACTGAATTACTAAAAGCAGAAGCAATTAAGTGTTTAATGTCAACAGAACCACATTATCTAATGAGCTGTTTTCTGAAGTCAATAATGTGATTAATCACTGATTAAAAACGGTGGAAAAGAAGTTCTTTTGTGCAAATAGTATTTAATTTTTTAAGACAAGGTCTTGCTCAGTTGCCTGGGCTAGAGTGCAGTGGCGGCGTCATTGCTCACTGTGGCTTCCAGCTCCTGGTCCCTAGTGATCCTCCTACCTTGGCCTCCCAAAGTGCTAGGATGACAGGTGTGAGCCATTGCACCCAGCCCCGTTTCTACTAATAGTATTCTGATCCTAAGGACAGCCAGATGAAAGGTCAGTCTTGGCTAATGAGGGACCAGTTGAAGTCAGAGAGGAAGTCTGGCTGGCTTCTTAGTCAGGTCCTCACCATGTGGCACATACTAGGGTCTTTATATGCCAGGTCTGGTCCTCGGCATTGTCTAGTAGCCCTCAGAGTTCAGCAGTAGCAGTAAGACCAACTCATTCTAACCAGCCCTATACAAGATTGATATATAAACCAGATCGCCAGTACACTAATTTAAAATACAGACTAGAACTATCATAGAGATGGGACTTCTTCTAACTTGTTGATACTCTTGCCTGTAAGAAAACCTGTGTGGGGAGCCAAATTGCAATAGGGATAATGATATTCTGCATACATAGTCTGTCAACTTTTAATTGAGCACCTACTGTATGCAAAGCCCCGTCATAGGCCCTGAGGATGCAGCAGTGAACAAGAGACAGCTTGCTGCCCTCTTGCAGTGTACTCTGTAATGGAGGGGCGGGGTGACAGGACGAGCAGAGACAGGTGCACCATGTCTGATAGTGATACTAGTGTTGGAGCCTTGCTACTCCAAGTGTGGTGGAAGGAGGGGCTTCAATGTGGGCATCACCTGAAAGCTTGTTATAAAGGTAGACCCTCAGACCCACAGAACCAAAATCCACATTTGAACTAGATCCCCAGGTGATTGGTGTGTAAAAAAGCACTGCTTTGGAGAAAAATAAGGTAGGATGATGGGGATGGGGAGTGCCTGGGGCAAGGATTATTATTTTATAACAAAGCACAAGGAAGTCCCCACAGAGATAATGGCCCCTGTGGGAAGCCCTGAAGGAAGTGGGGGGTGGGAGGGAGAAGCCAGGTAGGTATCTAGGGGAAGAGCTTTCTGGGTGGAGGGATCAGCCAGTGCAAAGGCCCAAGGCAGGAGCATGTCTGCAGGTTTGAGGACTGGTGGCAGCTGGCAGGACAGGAGCAGAGTGAGTGAAAAGAACAGTGATAGGGTTTAAGGCCAGGGGAGAAAAAGAGGCGAGGCTGGGGATGAGGGCAGATCACTCTGACTCTGAATGGGGTAAGGGCCCCTGCCGGGTTTTGAGCAGAGGAGTGTTGTGATCTGAGTTTTGAAGGACCACTAAGGCTGCTGTGTTCTGAATAGACAAGGGCAAGGGAGAAGGGCCACTGCAGTGTCTCGGGTGAGAGTGTTGGTAACATGGACCACCGTTGGAGCCGGTGATAGAACTGAAGAAATCCTGGATCTGTTTTGAATGTGGAGGTGACAGGTTTGTTGGTGAGTAGGGGTTGGAGTGAGTGAAAGAGAAGGGTCAGTGTCAATGGCAGGGTTATGAGCTTGGGAGTTAGATGAAGGAGTTTCCATTTACTGGAGTGGAGAATATCTCAGGCACAGGTTTAGAGGGAAGTTGAAGGCTGGGCTCTGGACATGCTACATTTGGTTGAGTCTGCTGAGTGTCCAGCTGGAGATTTGGGTTGGCAGTTGGATGGAAGGGTCTAGAGTTCAGGGTAGAAGTCCTGGGTGGAAATGTGGAGCTATGTACATGAGCAACCTCAGAACACAGATTGCATTTGAGCCATGAGTTATGAAGCCATCTAGGGAGTGAGAGAGAAGTTAGGGTATTAGCAGTGGTATCACCAAGCTTAGCCCGTCTCTTCCTCCAGGATAGACCTGTGTCGGGCTAGTGTGCCCACATCTGCAGTTGTGGCACATCCTCCTGGCATTGGAAAGCCCTTTCCTGCCCATGAGTTCTGTTTCTGTAGACTCCTACAGACACCAGTCCCTTCCAGTAATTCTATCTCCCTGCAGACACTCTTTGCTACTGTTTTCTTTACTCCGGTTCTAAGAATCTATTGGGACTTTTGATTGGACTGAAGTATTTTCCAAGCATTTCCCCCAGTGGTCCTGGAGGAAACTTATTCATCTCATGTCAAAGATTTTTTCTAACCCAACTTAACCAAAAAATTGAAAGACTTAACACAGTGAACGCCTATGTTCCCACCCCCTGGAGCCCACACATCACGTTTTTAGCACATATGTTTATATGCCTGTTTGTTCATCTATTCCTCCATTCCTCCATCAATCCACTTTATTTTTTGATGCATTCCAAAGTGAGTTACAATCTGGATAGACTTCAGCCTTAAACTCTTGAGCTTACATATTGATTAGAGTTGAATATTTGTCATGTTTTAGGTAAAATTTGCTTACAGTGAAACAGACAGATCTTACATATATTATGTGATGAGCTCTGGCAATGTGTACACCTGTGTAAGCCAAGTCTCTGTCATGACACAGCGCATGACTGCCACTGTGCTGGATTAATTCGTCCAGCCCTACCCGCTGGAGGCACCCACTGTTCTAACAGCACATTCTTCCAACCAACAAGTGCTTTGGTTACTCTTCTTTGCTCTGGTTCTGAGAACAGCCTGATTCTTTTGATTAGACGGAGGCATTTCCAAGCTTCCAGCCAGCTATTCTGGGGGAGACCCATCTGCTCACTTTAACGTTTTATTCATTGCTCCCTCACAGGGTGACTTCACAACAATATTTAGAAGTCATTTCTCGGTGGCTCTTGCCTCCTGACTCCAGCACACATTTCTAATCCTCAGACCTCTTCTCTCCTCTTCTCTTGACTCTTGGGCATTGCCAGTGGGGGAAATTGATACTGGTACGTCTTCTTCCTCCTCCTCTTAATAACAGCGGAGGCTGCACTGTGGAGCACCTGCTGAGGGGACCACAGCTGAGCAGAGTGACAGCCCCATTTGAAAGATGAAGAAACTGAGCCTCAGATGGCTTGAGTGACTTGCCCAAGGTCACACAGCAGCAGAGGCTGCTGAACCTGAACCCTCTTAACCTCCACATGGGGGTGGGCATGTTGAGGGGTATTTTTGGGTTGCGTTCCTCCTCCTCGTGCTCCTTGTCACATGCTCCCTGCTGGCTCTTTCCCACAGCCGTGGTGAAGAACCCACCCAACAACCTGTGGATCATCGCTGCAGTGCTGGCGCCCATCGCCGTGGTCACAGTCATCATCATCATCATCACTGCTGTACTCTGCAGGAAGAACAAGAACGACTTCAAGCCAGACACCATGATAAACCTGCCTCAGAGGGCAAAGGTATGCAGGGGCGGGGGCAGGGGCAGGGTCCAGGTCCAAGCCTGCAGGCTGCCTTCTCTTTCTTGGCTTTTGGGGCCGTGGTAATGGCCTTCAGAGGCATTGTTACAGGTTGTCATTTTGAAGGAGACTCTTTTAGAGTCAGGACCTGATCGTTTGAGCTTACCTGATGCTTGCTCTGCCATGTTTCCAAAAGCTCTTTGTGCAGCCGCTCTCTCAGCCCCTCTTTGAGGAAGGACCGTTGTTTTGCAGATGAGGAAACAGAGGCACAGAAAACTAGGAGCTAGAGAGACCTGAAAGGGCCCTTAGAGCTAATTCAGTTGGACTCCCTCCTTTTATATAGAGGGTGCAATTCTGTGAAGGTCACATGGCTCGTAGGTAGCAAAACTGATAGTAGAAACAGGTCTGCAGGCTCATGTCCCCCAAATTCATTTCCTGAAGTCCTGACCCCCAAATGTGACAATATTTGGTGAGGGACCTTCAGGAGGTGACTAGGTTCTGAGGGTGGAGCCCCAGGAATGGGATTAGTGCCCTTGTAAAAGAGGCCTTGGAGAGCTCCCTAGCCTCTCTCACCCTGTGAGGATATAGAAAGTAGGCAGCCTGCAGGCCAGAAGAGGGCTCTCAGCAGAACCCACCCATACCAGCACCTTGATCTTGGACTTCCCAGAACTGTGAGATAGAAATTTCTATTGTTTACATGCCATCTAGTTTAAGGTATTTTGTTAGAGCAGCCTGACCTCACTAAAACAAGTCTCTTGGGGACACATTAGACCCTCAGACCATTTCTTGTTCCGGGGACTGGAGTGATCTTCAGAGTTATCTTCAGAGGCTACCGTGGCAGGCAAGCTACAGACCACAGCCAGCACCCTCTAGTTCAGTGGCTCCACCAAAACCTGCCTGGAGACCACAACTCTGCACCACCTGCCTCTGGAGACTGAGAGGAAAGTGGCCCAGGCAATTCTGAAGCCTCTTTTCCCAGACACGTAGCTCCCTTCATGATATTCCCTGAGGGAAATGTACTAACTGTGATACCCAATTTTTAAATGTCTTATAATTTGCTAGGCTCACTAGGCCTGTCACCTCATTTGTTCATCACAGCAGCCCTGTGAGGTAGGTCATAGTCAGGGAAGGTTTAATTATCCTCATTTTACTGCCAAGAAACCTAAAAGAGAGACTTCAGCACTTATCTAAGACCACACAGCTAGCAGCAAACTGAGGCCCACGTCTGAGTCTTTGAGCTCTGCCTTCATGATACGCCTACCTGAACCCCGAGATTTGGCAGGTGGAATCCTCTTCCAGCTCTGAATTTCCAAGCCCTGTCTACTTATGTGAGAATGCAACAGTGAATTACCCATCACACTTCCTAGCCATTAGAATGCATGTCAGCTTTGGAGATTGTCCTTGTAGGGTCACACATGCCTTAGTTCTTTCTGGATGATCATAGCTCACTTCAGCAAAAAAAAAAAAAAAAAAAAGGAGAAAGAGAGAAGAAAAAAAATCAAAGGATTCTTATTGTTTGTTAAATCAACATACCTGTTGTGAAGCTGCAGCTTGATTAGACGCTATCTACTGAAGAGCCAAACCCCAAAGAATGTTGTTCTGTTCCTGTTGATATGAAGGCACCTGCTTCCCAGACACAGGATGTTAGTAAGAAGCGTACAGGGGGAATTTCCCAAGCAGTGGTACAAGAAACTGTTCCAAGAAAAGGTATTTCATTCCCATCTTAGCTTAGTTACAACGTAAGCCTTTTAGACATAACAGTAATGACCAGCATCTAATTGCACCGGAGTCCAGGAATGTGACACGTGCTGTACTAAGGTTGTAAATGGCACTATAGATTCAACTAAAATGTTATTAACCTGCCAAGATGAGCTGGGCAGCTCATGATCTCAGCATACCTTCTGGCTTAAAAGCTGTTTGAAACGAAAATAAATTAACATTTGTGGTTTTCCGTGGCTGCTTTTGTGTTCCTACCTAGTGCCTTGTGCTTTGTGAGATACCTGGCTGATGTTGAAAATCAAGTAAATTTATATTTCACAAGATGACCGAGTTTTCTGTGTGTGGTGGCGCTGGTTGTTTTCCCACTGTGAGGCTGGTTACATGCTTTGATTTCGCTGGGAGCCAGCAGGGTGGAACTGCCTCTTGCTTGCTACAGTTCTTATGCTGAGCAAGCCAGGGGTACTGCAGTGTAGGAGAGAGGAGAGACCCCCCGCATCCCTTCTCACAACCTCGTGTTGTGTGAGCAGAATTCAGTTAATGCTGAGAAACAAGGCAGAAAGAAAAGGTTAGCCTTCACTGCCAGTCCGTACACCAGGAGGCAGCCTGCCGCCATAGGCAACAGTGCTGGAGGACAGTCCTTCCTGAGACACAATAGCAAAGCTAACAGGCTAAGCAGAGGAGGTGAGGGCAGCTTTCCTTGGAGCGTGGACATGCCACCCTTCTCCAGGGACAAGGTATCATAGACATACCCTATTACATGGTCATCAGCAGGGCTTCTGCAGGGAGAATGTTGAGAAAATGATAAAAGCAAGAGGACCATGTGTCACGGCTCCAGTTACCTTTCTTCCAGTTCACTTTTCTTTACTCTTTGTCATTGGACTTATAACCTTTTTTTTTCTAGTTTTCCCCTTCATGTTACAAATGAAGAGAACATGGGTCCCTGGAACAGACAGTCTTAGGGGAAAGTTGTTAGAGCCATATCCAGACACAGGAGGACTCTTGGAGGGCCTGTAATGGTTGGCATGAACATTTGCTTGGAACAGGTTATTCATCTGCTAAGAACAGCCAACTGTTTTTTCTCTGTCACTTACTATCTATATGACTTCAGGAAAGTTACTTAACCTCTTCGTGCCTCAATTGTCCCATCTGTAAAGTGGGAATGATTACAATGTTGAAAGCAATTTCAATTATATATGAAAGCAATCTGCATATATATTAACCTCACTAAGGTTGTGAGGATTAGTGAGTTAATATATATGCAGATTGCTTTGCACTGTGCCTGGTTTGTAATAAATGTCACATGCATGTTGTCTTTCATTGTCACATATACTTTTTTCCTTAAAAGGTCTTGGCAATGTATCTACCTCTGAAATTATTGAAGATCATTTTGATTTGATAATTTAAAAAAACTCATTAAAGTTATTATAGATACTTCATGATGTTGTATTACTGCAGTTGAGAGTCACTAGTGTGTTCAGTGGGCAATTAATTAATCTCCGGAAATTTTTAAGTTGAAGGGTGAAAGATTACTACCCTGGGAATCAGAAGAGTAAAGGGCCAACTAGTCTTGAGTCATTCACCACTTAGCTGTGTGATCTTGGGCAAGTCACCAAGATTGTTTTCTTGTCTATAAAATGAAGACTTTGATGTTTGCCCTACTTCCCTCATGGCTTTGTCGTGAGGATGGAATGAGGTGTGAGTATTCTGCTGCCACAAATGTTGAACATCCAGGGAATTTTGTGGTTAATAACACAGGTGTAATTAACCTAACGGCATTGGCCACCTTTTAAACCTATCATTCCTTAATGTCTCTCTTTCTGGACACTCATGTCACCTGAAGTATCCACGAGATAACTTCAACTCAGTGTGAAGGGCAAGGTAAAGTCGAGAGAGAGTGGGAAGGGAGGGGGAGATAGGCCCAGAACCAGCTGTCCTCATCACTAGGTTCTCGGGAAGTCTTAGCTGCTATTGGAGACACACAGTTTCTCACATACAGACCAGGAATCTCAGCACAGAGCTGGATCAAGTGTGGTAGGAAATACCCAACTATGATGGCAGGCTATAGCAGGAAAGGAGGCACCGTGATCCACTGTTCTGGCTCTGGATCACTTAGTACTGGGCTCAAATGCTGGCTCCGTCACAGGCCAGCTGTGTGGGCCTGGGTATGTTTACTTCTCTAAACCTCAGTTTCTTCATCTGTAAAATGGGAACCCATGATGCCTATGTCCTTGAACTATAGTGAGGATGCCATGAGATAATTTATGTAATGTACTCAGTGCTGTACCAGTAGTACCAAAGGTGGCTAAAATATTGAGCTCCTTGAGGGTGGGGAACCAGGTGTTATTCCTCATGTGTCTTCAGCACCCAGCATGGCTCCTGTTGTTAGAACAAAATTAAATGAAATAATAGGGGAGATGGATGGGGGTGTAACAGGAATTGGATCAACAATGATAAGGCTGGGCAGATGGATTTGGCTGGAACATGAAGGGCCTTTAATGCCTTGCCAAAGAATTTGGGTGTCTGAAATGTTTTGAATGAGGAGTGTGGTTTTAAGGAAGATTACTTTGGAGGCTCTTCAAGGGTATGCCGGGAAAGGAGCTGAATGGAAGCCACAGACTGAGGTGGGAGAGAGAGAGACAGTGGGCCTGGGGAGGAAGAGACAGCTTCCAGAAACATTTCAGAAGCTGAATCCAACTGGTGACCTATTGATTGTGGAAGGAGCAGGCAATTCAGTACTCTGGGGACGTCATGTCATGTAAAGGCTCTGATCTGTTTCATATGGCACCAAGGAAGGGGAGGGGGAAGAACAGACACAGTCTTCCCATAGCAAACACTAGTTCAGAAACTTAATCCTAGTTCCTGGCGTCAGAATGTCACTGGTCACCATATGGGTCAGACTCTGTGTTTCAGAGTAGTGATGGTGACCACACTTCCCAGGGTGAGTTGTTGTATTTAGCAGGAAATCCATCCTACTCTGAGACACAGTTCTAGATGTGGGTTGTTGAATCTAGTTGGAGCCTTCCTGATGCTTTTCTTCTCTAACTGAGCTGCTAAAAGGAGAACTGCCAATCCTATCAAGTTCTGATGGACTCTGAATAGGATAGGTTGAGTTTTAGCCCCAGATATGCTTGAAGAAAATTACTCATGTCCGCTTCACCTGGACGATGGCTTTGTAAAAAAGCAAACCGTGTGGCTCGGGGCCTGTGGCTCAAGTGGCTAAGGCACCAGCCACATAAACCTAAGGTGGTGGGTTTGAATCCAACCCGGGCCCGCCAAAACAACAATGGCTGCAACCAAAAAAAATAGCCGGGCGTTGTAGCGGGCACCTGTGGTCCCAGCTACTTGGGAGGCTGAGGCAGGAGACTTGTTTGAGCCCAGGAGTTGGAGG